CCCCCTAATTCCGTAATGTTCTAATTTACCCAGTAATATACTGAAATTATTGTGTGAAATTAACTAGTGTGACGCCTAGAAAGCATAATCATAGTAAGCATAGAAAGATTTATTATGACGATGTCGATGTGTGAATTCTGCAAAAAAACATATATACGCGACAACACGTTATAACTACGCGTGCCGCCGTTTAAGGGGCGTTGCCATACGTACCGGATTGGTTTTTGCGAGACCTGAATCTAGGAAGTGATTGAGAAACCAGGATACTCCGGCTATGATGAAAGTGCAGGCGAGATGGCAGTGTATCGTATTTCGCAAGCATCTTAGTTGCCTGTATAAATAAAACGATGGCTATAGCATAAAAAAGACATTTCCTCGTGGATGTGTGGTGGCGCCACCGTTCGTATGCCTTTGCCTGAGATGCGTCGCTGCAGTCAGACACTCAGTTTTGCTCATCTATAATTAGTCGTTTATCTAACGTGTTGTTTCTTTAATTGGCATTATTTGACGCGCTGAAACATCCGCGAACAATTAATACGCATCTTCAGTCACCGCGTAATTTTCCACACCGACTTCTTTAGTTTATGAAGTTTATCTGCGATGTGTCACGATGCCGGAAACGAGTCGGTGAAGAAATGGACCACTTTAAAAAATATTCCAAACGCTTCCTCAGCGCTTTCGATTCACCCTTCCTCCAATCTTGTATCCTCGCTCGCTATTACACCCCCGCGTTCACTGTATTCATTTCAACCTTAAGCATAGCGCAGACTTGCGACTTTTTCATGCAACTCGGCAGCGATTCTAGAATCGCAGTCAAAATTGCTGTGAAATTGCTACGACTGCGGGAACGTGCAACTGCAACCCGTAGCGATTCTGGTCGCTTGCAACGAGTTGCAAGAAATCAAACTGATTTGATTTTCAGCAACTCGTCGCTCCCAATCACTCCGAAATCGCTTCGAAATCGCATGTGTGCGGGTAGACAGCGACTTGCAACGATGAAAAATTCTCGTCCGACCAATCAGCAAGCACCATCTCATCACGTGAAAGATGTGTGTTATTATGTATGTATGTCTCTATTCGTCGGAGCTGCAACACTGAAATAATCCTGTCTTAAATATATAAAAGCCTGCGTATAAAGAGTTATATGTAGAATATATAATTTATTGTCTAGTTATGATTTATAATACTATATAATTATTTCTTATTCATCATATAATATCATATATAAGGCATACTAGTATATTGTCTCATTGGGTCAATTTTCTACCACATGATTGAATGTTTTTGAGTGAGTTATGGCAAACCGCTTTTATAATAGTGGAATGGCCCTATATACCAAATATGAGACTCCAGCTAGTGTCATGTAAACTCCTAAAACATTGAACAAAACAAGTCAAGGGAAAGACAACAGCAGTCGCTTGCATGCGATCACGCGGTGAGGCGCGCGACCGATCGCTTGCGGTTGCAGGTTGCAGCGACGAGCAACCAAAAATCACAGGCCTAGATCTAGCCATAGAAAATTCCTCAGACAATCAGTGTAAATGCGCATGTCCCATATTTACGCCACACGTGCTACCTCTTAGCTCTGAAGAGGCAATTTTCTCGGCTACCAAGAGGCAATTCGCCGCAATTGGCATGTTATATTAAACACCGGATCATTGGGCTTGTTAGCGAACTATTCCCTTGCCGCTTATATAACAGCGAATCATGCTTTAATCGCGTACATATATAGTGCACCCGTTTAAACGCAATATATAACGTATAGGGGCTACCATTTTTCATCAAACTCGAGGGCGGGATAATAACAGCATGACAATGTTAGGAATGCGACCCTAGGAAAAATAATCGCAATGACTCAAGAGGTACCCCAGCCACTATTTATTAGGACAGGAATACGCTGGCCCACACACACAGTACTACACTCCAGGAGCTCCGTTGTCAGTAATGGTTCTAGGAAAATCCCATGTGATAATTACCCCCACGGGCACTCAGCCAGGGGTAGGTAATTGCCCCGGGGGGGGGGCACTCCACATATATGGCATGGTAGGTATGTGCCGCGGAAGAGACCCCCATTTTCAACCCCAAACTTCCGTTCCAGTGCATCGCATTCTTAAGAATATCTCGTTCAAGAGCATCACAAGTTTAGTTACCATGCAGATCTTGCATTTTTGCCGTTCCGGCAACCCTAGTTTTTAACATTTCCGTTTCCGTTCAGTTTTTCCGTTCCAGTGCATCGTACTTCAGAATACGTTCAAGCCGGGCTGTGAAGGCATGCATGCAATAATTATTGGTTCAAGTGCTACAGCATAGATTTTAAAGCAAATCACAGTTCCCCCACAGTTCCGGAGACCCCCTCTTTTAAACGTGTCCAGTTCCATAGGATTGCATTTCGATTGCACGATTACATAACCCCCATTTTCGAACATAGCCAGTTCCAGAGCATCCCACATTCAACAAACATTAGTTCCAGAGACCCCCATTTTCAGGTCTGAGTTAGTTCCAGAGCCTCCCATTTTTGACTTCGCAGCGGCACATACCTACCATAATGTGGGGTGAGTGCCCCCCCGGGGGGTAATTGCATATCTAAAAACATCACAAGTGGTTACAACATCATTAGTTTAGAGTTTCATAACTTTTGCACACGAGCATTGCACAAAAGAACTCGGAATCCTAGACTTACAATAGTCATAACTAGAGCTCTAGTCATAACTATCCACGATGTTTCTGGCAACGGACCCCCTACAATTTCCGTTTCCGGTCAAGAGCGCTGGAATGTGCGCGACGTTGCCAGGGAACACGAAGGAGAGCGAATAGGAAGTGCAGGAGAGGATCTCGAATCAAGACGGTAAATAAGGATGGGACGACATCCGCAGACGTATGGAAGCCGTTGCGAAACCTATAGGCGAAAATGCCAAAATAACAGGTGAAGTGCGAACCAGCAGGTCCGAGTTCAATAAAAAGACACAGTTCAATAATAAAGTACAGTATACAGTAGATCTAATGGTCGCTATACGCTCGAGCCAAACGTCGAAGTAGCTTACTGAACTAAAACGTTAAAATAAGATTATAACAAAGTTTGTCCAAGCTTTTTATTAAAAACAAGAAAACGAAGGACCCGCGAGGTCTAGAATAACAGAGGATTTTAAATTGAGACATAAAGAAGCAACGCAAACCCCCGGATAGTATAGCAAATGATTTTTATAGATAAAAGCGGTGATATTGCGGTCCCTGTTAACGCCTACGCGCGATCACCTAAGCCTATAATACGGCTGCCAGGGTCTATGTCTCTCTGGGTACTTAGATCTAATATGCCAGACCGTACCTCGCCTACTCCACTAACGAGTCTAGGGAGTCGCCTACGCCTACTCCCTAACCCTAACCCTAACCCTAACCATATCAGATAGTTACCAAGGTACGATCCGGTATACCGGACCGTACCCAGGGTACGTTCCGGCAGTACCCAGGGAGACATAGACCATATGAGCTATAATACGAACCTACCTGAAGGAGACAAATATGGCTAGAGTGATGACGAGGCTTATCAGGGAAAGTGAGAATCCAATATAGTAGAGATAGAACACGTACTGCATGTAGTTATCCTCGGCAGCCTACCACATGGAGCAGAATAAATAAATAAACCTATTATGAATTATAATAAAACTAGTACATGAGTTTAATTGGTTGCTATACGTACAATAAGTTGTTAGTAGTAGTAGTATTTTTGTTGTTGACGTCGTCGTTGTCGTCGTCGTCGTTTTGGTTGTTATTGTTGTTATTGTTGTTATTGTTGTTATTGTTGTTATGTTGTTGATCAGATTTCTTCAGATTTATATCGGAAGCAGCGAGTATTACTGCTATAGCAAAAAAGATGATCATTGTAGCGACGAAAAGTCGTACGAAAAACTGGAGATAGAGAGAGAGAGAGAGGGAAGAGGGATAGAGAGAGAGAGAGAGAGAGGGAGAGAGAGGGGGGAGGAGGGAGAGAGACACAGAGAGTGCGTGGATACACAGCTGATCATACCTGTAATGATGAGTTAGATGGCTGACATTGTGTGTAGTCAGCTCGAAGAGTCCACGTTCCATTTTCGTCGATCAGTCGTGTCGCATTCTCTAAGAACAAAATAGCAATATCCGGAAACAGCGCGTG